ATTTTGGTATCCACAGGGGGTCCTGGAATCAAATCCCAGTAGATAACAAGGGCCCACTGTAGAAGAAAATTTAGAGAGGCATGGCAGAAGGAGATAAAGTGAGACTGTCATATTTGGACTTATCAGGGGACTTATCAAGGGAAGATATGACTAATTAAAAAAAACACAATAATACTTGGTAAGGTAGAAGGCAGTAGGAAAAGAGGAAGACTACATTACAGGTGGATAACCACAGTCAGGGAAGCCATGGCCCTGGGTTTGCAAGACCTGAGCAGGGCTGTTGCTCACAGGGTGACTTGGAGGTCTCTCATTCATAGGGTCTCCTTAAATGGAAGACAATGTGACAACAGTAGACAGCAACAACAACAACAACAAAGAGCACTAGCAGTTTGAGGGGAGCTGTGCAAGGGCTGAAAGCAGCCCATGTGCCATAAGCTTCCCACATGTGGTAGAGAGAAATGCTTCACTTGTATCTTTAGAGCTGGTGGGTGTTTATATTGTAGCAGTGTGCTATGGGCTTTATAATGTTGTAAATGAAAAAAAAAAGTGACTGGATTTCAGGGCTTTTATGGTACTGAAAAGGATTATATGGTATAACTTGGGGTTCTACCACATCATTGTAAAGAAGCATAAATGAAGTGTAAAGATTTTCACAAGATTAGTTTCTTGGGTTTTGCTTGGGTGTTGGGAATTGCCAAAAAAACAAAAAAACAAAACCAAACAAGCCCTACAACAACAGCAACATCATCTGGATTTTTTTTTTAAAAAAAAACAACAAGAACTACACATTTGCCCCACGATGGGAAAAATATTAGTCTGTTTAGTGCTGGGAAAAGATTTTGCATTTTTATGAATTACTGGCTATGTTGCTGCATTGCAAAATCTCTGTTGTATACATAGGCACACCAATTTTCCAACTGCTTTTGCCATATGAAGATTTATGCAAATGGCATTTTTTGTGGTTTTATTCAGAGAAGGGCCCCATTTTGCTTTGCTGGTAGTAATGGGAGATTTTGCTATCATCTTTCAATGGGATCATCAATATGCTCAATTTTCTAATTCAGATCCTCACTTTGAGAAACTTAATTGGAAACTGAGCTGTTAGTGTGTTACTTAAAACAAACAAATAAACAAGAGAAACAAGAGAAATATGATTGGGGCACTTAGATAAACTCATTTGGTAAAGTTCATCATTTTAATTTATGTGGCTCAGACTAAAGGCACCTAAATCTTTAGCATTTTAACTGTGAACTCAGGCAAGCAGTCACTACAGTTTTAGGGAATGTCTGACATGAGGTGGAGATTCCCAACCACAAAACATTATCTTTTCAATTCAGTGCAAGGGACAAAGCCGCTAACTGAACTGAAAGGTCTGGGAAACCTATCTAAGCAATAAAAATAATAATATTTATTTATATCCCACCCCTCTGTAGAGCAATTGATGTATAGTGGTAGCACACAGGTGAGAAGAGCAGGAGGGCGATGTGCTATACTGTACAACAACTTGGAAAGTTGGTGCTGTAATCAAGTGAATGCACTACTAATTACTAGTGAACTTGTTGCTTGGGTCAAATGACTTGATTGTACTTCAGCATATAGTTGTTTTGTGCCTCCAAGTCATTTTTTACTTATGGAGATGCTAAGGCAAACCTATAATAGGGTTTTCTTGGCAAATTCTTCAGAGGGGGGGTTGCCAGTGCCATTCTCTGAAGCTGAGAGAGTGTGATGTGCCCAGGAACACCCAGTGTTTTTTATGCTCAAGCATGGAATTGAACCCTGATCACCAGAGTCGTAGTCCAATACTCAAACCACTACTCCACATGGCTCTCTACCCTCAGCATATAACTAACACCTAAAGAGTCTGCAGAGCCAGTCCTCTTACTAGACAGAGTGACAGATACCAAGGAGGTAGGAAATTGGAGGACAGAGCACCATGTAGTCGTTGTCTGTATCCCCTCACCCTCAGTCTATTTCCCTCAAATGGAAGACAGGATGGTATCTTATGACAAGTGTTAAAGCAAGAGTCAATTCTCAATTGATTTGGCTTCTGTATGTGGAAGGAATTGGATGTGGCAACCCATATTGTTCTCCAGGTTGCAAAATGGCTTAGGTTTGATTTGCATAGTAGCCCTGTCCTTCCATTTTAAAAACTGCATCATTTGAGAACTTTTTAAAATGCACAGTGACCAGAATTACTGAAAATAAATGAAATACTTTTCACTTTCTGATTGGCTACCTGTTTGTACCATCACCTTCCTTAGATATCTGGCATCTTTATCTATGCAAGAACCAGATAAGTAGATGGGATTTTAATTAGTTTTGGAGATAAACTGTACAACTTAGTACATCTTCCCTTTTTCACAGTACCCAGTGTATGGAATGAGTATAGTTTAAAACTGAGGATCTGCCAGGCCATCATATGAAGGAAAATTGCAGTAACTCTCCTGGCATTTCAGATTCACTCTTTTGTTGCTGAAGTACAGTATCAAACTGTTTCTCTAGTAACATCATGTCCTTTCCTCCCATTTACAGCAATTTTCCATGTAACGATTTTGGCAGTGAGAGCAGCTCCATAAAAGTGGAACACAAGCCAGGCTGTGACTAATATTCCAGAACTTTTCTGTCCCCCTGCCCCTGGCTCTGTGCGATAAAATAGTCATTAACCTTTCCTGTTGTTTCTGTTGCCGCTGCCGGCAAAAAACTGTACAAACTGGCTCAAAAGGTGTTAGAATGAAATGTTGTAGACAGGAAAAAACACCACTTGATGGCTTTGCATATTCAGATCCATATTCAGGCTATGGGAGCATCTCCCAGCATCTCCCACCCCCAAATATATTTCAGTATATTTACCCTGGATCTGAATATGCAGACTCACCTTCACTAGGAGGGCAAGGGTAGGTTGGAAATACTTTCCGGTCAAGCATTTCTGGAGCCCTTTCACATGGCACTAGTTATAGCATTATGATCCAACTTAAATTACCATGGTTCCATCATATGGGATCCTAGGATCTGCAGTTTAGGAGTGAGGCATTTAGAATTCCCAGCCAGAGAGCTTGTCTGCCTACCAGACTATACATCCCAAGACTCTACAGGATATTACCATGATGGTTAAATTGGAATCATAGCACTATAATTGTACAGTGTGAAAAGGCTTTCCTGGAAGCTTTCATGAAAGAGCACAGATATCGCTCTGTCCCCAAGTAAAACAAAGAGGAAAATCTCCACACTGGGGAATCTAAACACATTCAAGAAATGATATGATACTGCTATGAATATTACAGGCCAGACTTGCAGTGCGGAGACTATATCTGTTCAGGATGCCAGCCCACCTGCAATGCCCCTTTCTAGAATACTCCATTCCACTCCCCTTCCCACACCATTTTTTTCTGTTTTTTCTCTTGCATCAATACAGTCTTCAGTGGGATGATTTGTGAGTCCCATCACAATATTTTTCTCACAACTCCCCTTCCCTCTGATCTTGATATTCCTGCTGATACCTTTTTCTTGGGCATGGCTGGTACTACATATTTTGGCTACATAAATACCCAAACTGAGTATCAGAAATCGAGGCATTATAGAAGTCCAAATAATACTGAATTCAAATAATGTATAGGGATCCTAGTGGATTTTCGAAGCATAAATTTTGATTGACTACATCTCAATATATTAATTTTGCAATTAAAACTGGAAGAACATTTTAAAAGACACACCCTTTTTAAAGCAATGATAAGAAGTGTGCCATCTTGTCAGATGAAATACGGTACAGCTGCTTTTAACTAAAATCCTAAAATCTAATGGATCCATAATTGGGATCTTTTTGTAAAGAAGAAAGTTAGGAAAATAGCATATTCAAAACTGTGCAAGCAAATTCATACTAGAAGGATATTTTCTATTGGGAATGCCATATCTTTCATTTCATTCTACTGTATTCCTATGTTCCATACAACTGACACTAAACTGTAGACAAAAGTAAGGCTTATAAAGGGCACCCTTGGCATGAAAAAAGCAGCCTTCAAAAACACTGTAATCTATTTATATTCTATTCTGTTGGAGGTTGCAGATTTAAACTACAGGAGGACCCTGTCATGTACTCTTGTTTTCTCCTGGGACTCTATCAGGAAAAGCACTGAGCTATTTCTGAAAGGAATTTTAGAAACATAGCAAAAATTGCATTTGCTATTTCAGTCCATTTTGCTAACAGCTCCAGCCACCCACCTGAAAACAAAACAAACAAACCCTAGAAGACCTCTTCTTGACTGCTTCCACACTGCAGAAATAAACCAGTTTGACACCACTTTAATTGCCATGGCTCAGTGCTATGGAATTCTGGGGATTTTAGTTTGTTGTTGTACCAGACCTTTGCAGCCTAAGTTCAACAAAGGCTTGTTTTCATATATTAACAAGGAAGACAAAACATTCTTATTGTGAAGAAGTTCTGTTCTGCGTGACCTTTATAAGGTGCTGACATGCCCATTTCCGCACAGAAACAAATAGCCTGATAACTTTCTGTTGCAAAGCTTGAGAATGGCGGTGGTAGCTTGAAGTGTTTGTGTCTCATGAGCTTATCCACCACTAAAATAAAATGTCTTACCTCTCCCAAATTCAATTTTAATTTGGGTGGCATCCAGACACTATCACAAGGATTTTGCGACCAAATCTGCCACTCACGTCCAGCCTGGGTCGAGCCCAGGTCTCAGGGGTGCTCAGCACATCTCTTTTTAAACCAAGAGTTTTCTGACTTTAAAAAATGGTCTCCGGAGCGCTTCTGGGACCAGGGCTGGACCCAGGCGTTGGATTCAGCGGAAAAATCCCTGCAATCGTATCCGGATGCTGCCCAAATTAAAATTGAATTTGGGAGAGGTAAGATGTGGCTCAAGTGGTTAAAACGCTGACTCTGTTGATTGCAAGATCGGCAGGTTGGCAGTTTGAGGCCCGGGTGCTGCATGATGGGGTGAGCTCTTGTCACTAGTCTTAGCTTCTTCCAACCTAGCAGTTTGAAAGCATGCAAATGTAAGTAGATAAATAGCTCCACTTTGGTGGGAAGGTAAAGAGCATTATGTGCAGTCATGCTGGCCTCATGATCACAGAGTAGTCTCTGACAACGCTGGCTCTTCAGCTTAGTAATGGAGATGAGCACCGCCGCCTACGGTCAGACACGATTTGACAACTTTGTCAACGAGGAATACCTTTACTTTTTAAGATATTTTATTTAGTGGTGCGATATGATCTCCTCCTCTGGTATCACATTGTACTTCTTTTCCAGCTCACAGTGGCTCCAAAATTCCTCCCAAGGACTTTGATCAGTGCCGATTTTGCAGCCAACAATCTCACAAAGATTTATGATCTCACATTTGGACAGAAGCCAAACCTGAGGTAAAAAATGGAATTAAGAGGCAAAGGGAAAAAATGTATTACTCTTTTTGTGCTGGATAAGGAAAAAGTGATTGTTTAATAAAACCATTTGTGGCCTTCCAATAATATTTGGAAGAAGAGGACTGTTTATCTTAGGCATGATTCAGACCAGTGCATACGGGTGCCTTTTGTTTGGTGTCACTTGCTTTCATGCAGATAACCGCCATACCAGAAGGTTATTAAAATATATGTCTATTATGCAAGTCAGAAATATGTCTCATTGGATATGTAATCTGTAGTTCATGGGGAAGAGGATTCCTAGCTTCTGTCTTAGCTTCACTCAAACATCTGCTTGATGATACTTCATTAGCTACAATAAGAAAAGGCTATATTGTTATGCACATCCGACTTCTCTGAATGATGAGAGAAGTTCCAGAAGCCCCAGGTTGGTTCACTTGGAAAGGAGGTCATTGGTAGCTTATTCGTGTTTATTTTAATATATGCATCTATTTACACATAATTTTCTACAGTAATCTCCTGAGCCTACAAACTCACCTTTTCTCAGTAACTTTCCCCTGAACCTAGAGTATGAATCGCACCTGGTCAGGCTCTCCTCCTGCTTTGTCCCTCCCAGCTTCGCTACGGTGGTGGAAGCCTCAATGAGGAGAGCAAAGGAGAGGTCCAAACACACTTTGCTGTGGTGGTAGAGGTCTCCTCACAAGGAGACCTCTGCAGCTGTGGTGAAGGAGAGGAGGGCCAAGTGCAACCTTTTGGGTGACACTAGGGATGGGGATGCCACTGCCTGAACCCAGCTATTATCTGGTTGATGGAGAGCAAGGGAGAGAACTGGACAAGTTTCCAGTTAGGACATGCTATAGCTGGAGATGCAGTGACAGGCAATCACATGAATCTCAGATCCTCCAGAGATCATCCTGCAAATGATGACATTGTTTTGTGTCCAGCTATAGGAAAACAGTCTACTACCCTCACCGATCTCCACCAACCAGGCATGATGAGCAGGCCCCAATGAGATGAATTTGCCCCCAGAATCATGAGACATTTGGGTTATGGTCCAAAGTCCTTCCAGATTAAAATCAGCCCATTGCCTCTAGCAATGCAAAACCAGATTAGCCTCAGGATGAGGTTCTGACATACATTGGGCCTTAGTCTCCATGGAAGGGGATGTGAATTTAAGAAAAACAATGACTGCTGATGCCTTGGTGTTAAACATCTCTTACCTGTGCACGGTGGTTCTAATGTGGACAGGATTGTCTTCATTTACTTTGGAGTAAGAATGAAATTGAGACTCTGTGTTTTCAAGGAAGCAATATATGTTATTTAAAAGTTGTCTTGAAATATTGAAGTGCATTTGGTTGTTTCCCAGTGTAAATACTAAAAAGACTACATTCCTCACTCGTGAGTATTTGCTCTCTGTTTTTTCTTGCATTAAGAGTGGAGTACTCAGAAAGATAA